AGAATCTGAAAATATGGACATATATGTATGTGTATGTATAACACAACCGCTTTGCTGTAATTCTGAAACAAATATTGTAAATCGACTACACATCAATTTAACAATAGCAAGTTGTAAAAACGAGATTCCTTACCCCCATCCCCCACCATGCTGTATGAATGCATTTCAATTTTTTCTCATAAGTACTATAAATATTTAATTATAACTCGAATCTATGTATTGATCACATACGAACCTCTGCTCAAGGAGCTCCACGGGAACTGGGATACAGACACATGAAAACTAACACACAGCGTAACTGTCGGAATAGCTCAGAGATGCAGAAAGCAGTAAGCACAACCTCTTTGGAAAATTGTCTACCAGTGTGTGCTCCAGTGTTGTAGGTAACTTGGGAGCAAGCAGGTCCACTTCCGGGGAATTATCCAGCAGAAACAGTGCAGAAGTCCACACAAGAGATCTGTACAAGCATTTCCATGGCAGCTTTATTTATAATAGCCCCCAAACTGAAGCACCTCAGATATCTATTCAGAGAACAGATCAATAAAATGTAGTGAATTCATCAAATAGAATACCTCGGAGAAGAGTGTACACTGTGTGACCCCATTTCTATAAAAGTGAAAAACAGGCAAGTTAATGCAGTGTGGTAGAGGTGAGCATTGCGGTTACCTTTGGGTGGCACAATACTGCCTGGGAAGAGGGAACAGGAGAATTTGGAGGAGCTGCTGGGATGTTTGATTCCTTGATGTGGCTGCTGGTTACAGAATTAACATAGGTAAATCTAATCCAGGTGTACCCTGAAGACTTGTGCCCTTTGCTGTAGGTAATTTATATCTCAGTAAAGTAAGTTTATATAAAAAAGACAGTTTTAGAATGAGAAGAGTCATTTACCAATAAGCATATATCCATGAATAAATGTTATCGGTCATTAAAGGGAGTAGAGCACAGTCATCATAATTGGGGGATCTGGGTCAGAAAGCCTTGGGTTCAAGTTCGGGCTGCAACACCAGTGGGAAAACTTGGGCTAAGCTAAGTTTAAGTGAGTTTCCTCAGTTCTGCGCGTCATAGACCCTGGAGCAATATTAACTATTACTAAGTAGTTACCACAGCTGCTCCCACCCTCACGTAATTTGCAGAGTATTCCCTTCCTATCTGTTCTTCTGTGTTTGGATTTATTGCTTCTGCAACTTCCCAGGTTCTCATCTATTGTCTGAATAACCTCCTTGGGCCCCAACACGACAGCAGGACAACAGGACTCTGACTTGGCTGGGAGGAAGCTGCATGATGTGAGGAACTTTCCCTGAAGAGCCACCAGCACAGCCCAGGAGACAGAGAAAGACGTTGGGTTGAGTCCACTGTGGCGCTGGTGGCCATCATGGGGGAATAGACAGAGACCTGTCCCTTCGCTGCTCCCTGTTGCCAGGGCTCACTCATGTTCCAGTCCACAATCTGTCTTCTCTTGCCCAAGGGTGAAGCCACACCTCCTTCCAGCCTGACGCAGATCCGTGAGCTGAAGTGACGACGCTGACACCCCGCTGCTGGCACCATGATATCAATAGGCCTCCTTTACTGCCTAGGTACTCAGCTGCCCCTTCTCTGCCTGCTTCCTCCTTGTGCCCTAGAATGAAGGTGGTGTCTCCAGGCTGAGTTAACCTACAGAGGAATCAAGACCCAAGAAGAGGTTCACAAGCATTCTTGAAGCCCTATCCCTCACACCAAAGGGATCTTACCTCAAAGCCTCTTTCTGGGCCTTCTCCTCAGGGGGCCTCAGCTAAGGTGCTGGCTCCCTCCCTTCCCCACCACACAGCAGATACTATGAGTGGGACAGGGGAAGCCCTGGGAAGGAAATGTGAGTAGCGTGGGGCATCCTGAAGCCAGGCAGGTGCAGAGAGAGGAGGTAGACCAGCAACCCTGGAGGCTTCTCCGCCCTCTCCTTTTGTCCTGGGTCCTCCTGTTCCCAAACCCTGGGCAGTTACCAATCAAAACCCTTTCCTCCAGCTCTGCTGCCAGCCCCACCACTCTGCCAGGGTCAGTGGACCCTTGAATGGAATCCCAGTCTGGCCTTTGCCACCTGCCACCTGTGTGACCTGGAGCGCCGTCCCTGACTTCCCCTGTAAAATGAGAATGATATTCCCACATGTTGTTCTGAGGATCAAATATAACGTAGATCTGTGGCTGGGCCAGTGCCTGCCCCGGAGCACGTCCTCCTGAGTGTTGTTGCTGTCCCTATGTAGTGGGGCCTCGCTGCACCCCAGAATTCTCACCCCCCACCCCCATGGTTCCCTTAGGGCACCTGTTCACCAGACGGGACTGCCTCAGGCAGGTAGTGATTCCTTTGCCCTCAGATCCCCCTGCAGACACCCAGGCGCTCAGACATTTCCCCACCTGCCTCACCCCAATCAATCAACACAGATTCAGTGCTGGGAGCTCCCCCCACGGAAGCCCTGGTTTCCTTTCACCATTAGTGACGCAGGAGAGAGAAAACACTTAGCAACTCTCCATGCACCGAAATCATCACTGTGTTTCCTTGACTCCTGTTTTCTCAGGACCACTTTGCCCCCATCACTGCACTGCTAAGCAACTAAATCACTCTGTCCCAGAGGCTGCCCAGGAGAGCAAAGTGGCCCAGTGGAAACATAAGGGAGGGGGCGCAGAGTAGAAGCCAGGGGCCCCCCAGCCGGCCCTGGGGCCCGTGAGGGAGGCCGGGCTGCGGGAGCCCTGAGGATCAGCTCTCCTCAGAAACAAGACGGTCTCCTGTGTATAAACGGGCCAGCGGGGCTCAGTGGAGCCGCGGGAGCTGTGCCCCTGGGAGCAGCCTGGGGGAGAGAGAGGTGACAGGGACAGATTACAGGCTCAGAGCTGAGGTCCCGCCCCTAACGACCCTGAGGAAGCCCCTCCCCTACCGGCCTGGCGTCTGTGACTCGTGAGAAGAGTGTCACCTGGTACTTTTACTCAAAGCTCTGGATTCTGAGACATTTTAAAAATTAAAGTAACATCGGTTTATGTACGTTTCGGGTGCAGATCCTTATATTTCTACTTCTGTATACACTACTGCGCTCACTAGCAAGAGCAGGTAGGATTGCGTCCTGGTGAGGCCTCTTGTCCTGGGTGTCAGTGCCTGCTGCCTTCTGGTCCTGTTCTCACGCAGCCCTTTCTCAGTGTGGAGAGAGAGCTGGACTGGCACCACTTGCTCTTCTAATAAGGACACCGCCTTACTGGCTTAGGGCCCCACACTTATGACCTCATTTAACCATAATTATTTCCTGAAATGTCCTAATTTTAAATTCAGTCACGTGCGGGGTCAGGGTTTGCACATATGAATTTGCGGAGGGCCCAGTCCTGCCCAAAGCACCGGGTGACTCCATCAACAGTACCCAGGGGAACAGTGCTCAGGAAGATGAACTGTGACCACTTTGTGCTGAAGACAAATCGTGTTGCACTGCAATTTTGGCTAATTTTATTCTTTTTTCTTTCCATCTAGATAAGGAGTGGTTTTTTGAGGCTGTCATTGAGTGCCTCTGGAACATATTGAACAGCGAGGAACTCCTACACCTGCTGACTGAAGTCCTAAATAGATTTGAGAAGGAGGAAAATTTATCAAGGTGACTTGTGTGGGTGCCCCAGGAATGTCAACTAAAGCCCCCACCGTGGCTAGGTTCCTCCTGGAAGGCACACCTCCTCCAGGCAGTATCCTAGGGTTGGGATCGAGGATTTCCTTCTCAATAATCCATGAGGAATTTTTCCTCCATGTCATTTGCTGGCGGTGAACGGCCTCAGGTTGAGAAGAGATGAAACTGCAAGGAAGGGGCAGGTTATTGACCTTGGACAAGTTACTTAACTACTCTCTGCCTTGGTTTCTTCATCTGTTCAATGTTATTGTGAGGAAACTGAGATAATACACGCCAAGGGCTTAGCATAATGGCTGACTTGTAGTAGGTGCTCCGTTCATGTTAACTTTGAAAAAGCTTTTTGGGAAGAGATCCGGGCCAAGGTTCTTGTTCTCGGAGATGAGAACTGAGCAGGACTTCCTTTGGGATGAGTCAGAAAACTGCTGACAGCGTCAGTTTGTGTCCTGGGGGTTCTTTCTGACTGGAGCCCTGGTATCCCCATCTTAGCAATTGTGCAGACACTGCAGGACCTGGGGCCTATAGGGCAGAGAGGCTGGGGTGGAATTGGATGGAGCTGAGCTGGATCCTGGCTCTATCCTGGCCTAACTCTGGGACTCTGGGCTTACGTCCTGGATCTCAGATTTATCATCTGTACAAAGAGAGATGCAGTTCAATCTGATGAACTGTGGCGATGGCCTGAGAGTGAACCACGGGGTCACAGGTGGGTAACAAGTGCAGGCATGTCGTGCAAAGGTCCAGGGAGGCCTGGACCAGGGTCGCACTCAAGGCTCAGGATGGAGAGAGAAGTTCAGGTGGGGGAACTAGTAGAATGTGTTGGCAAAGGGCCAGGACCAGAGTGAGGGGAGTGACCCCTAGAACACAAAGCTGAAGGGGCTGTGATGCTATCAGAGTTGCCATGAGTGGGAGAGGGGACAGTTCTTCCCTCCCTGACTCGATCAGCTGATGCTGGGCATTGAGGGCCCAGGGTGACTGTGTCCTCCACACCCTGCCTGGGGTCCAGGGGGTCTCCACTGCCATGTGGGACCCTCTTCTATTTCACATAGAGTAGCCTGACAAGTCTGAATGTGGTGTGGCTTAGTGATGACTCCATTGTCAGAATCAGGGGCTGCCAATTTTGTGTGATTTGCGTGATTCTGAGGAGACTGTCAAGTCCCCACCAAACAGGATATACTTCACCTTCCAACACGTCCAAATGCAGGCCTTTCAGTATTACAGTTCATATGGATGTTTCATAAAGTCTTTTGAATCCTTTAGAGGGTCCATCGAGTTGCACATGGCCTTGGGGTGCACGCAAATGAAGCTGCCCCAGCTAAGCTTGAGTTAGGCTGGTGACACCTGAGAGCTCAGGGGTACAGGGTGGTGGGTTGGGAGTCAGTGAGGTGGGCTGGAGAGTCCAGGGGGAACCAGGGTTAATAGGCCCTCTCCTGATTCCCAGTCAGTTGGGGAAGTGGTTGAACCCAGTGACCTTCAACTGGATGGATACAGGGCATCAGGCTTGGAAGAGGGCATAGGTCAGGGAAGTGATCCCTGAGGACCCCTCTAGCTGTGAGTTTTGGTCTTAAAACAAATTCTATGTACGTGGTGTTAGCCAGACTGCAAAGTCTGAGTGCACAGTCCCCAGATTGTCCTAACTCTTGACAACAGTGACAAATTTGGAGGATGCCCCATCCACCCTCTGGTTGGAGAATTCCTGAGAAGGATGCACAGGACTCCCTGACAGCTGGCACACTCCCAGTTCAGGTTTAGTACAGGGAAGGAAGCGGGTTGCCAGCAGCCACAGGGCAGAGTCTGGGAGGGTTTCAAACATGAAGCTTCTCTTGTCCTCAGGACGCATTACTGTCCTGTGGTCAGTGTGTCAGTGCACGTGGGGCACAGCCAACCAGGGATGCACACAGTGTTTAAAAAAATGGTCCTGATAGTCTTTAATCTGATGAGGCAGGCAGCATTCAGGACAGTGGTGACAGGTGTGGAGCCCATTGCTGTAGAGCAGACACATGGGCTCAAGCCCGAACACAGCACAGACACTGGGGGTTTATAGCCAAGGAGCAGAGTGAGGGGTGGTGGAGGGAAAATTACTGAGAGGAGACACCAAGGGGAGGGGATTCCTGTTTATCTTTCCTAACAGGATTCTCACTAAAGGCAGGACTAGGGCGGATGCTTCAAAGGTGGGAGATGAGGAATTGGATCAGGTATCAAAGGTGATTGGATCTCAGAGTGGATGAATCTAACTATGTGGATTTAGCAGGGTTCTTGCTGAGACTGGGTGGTAGGGGCCATCGGGGACAGGACAGGGAAGGGGAAGGTGTAGGCCTGCTTGAGAAGAGGACTCAGAAGAGCCTGACTAACGCTTCGTGAAGGAGAGAATGTCAGGCACCCCGAGCCTCAGTGCACAGTGTCCTCCTGGGGCTCAATCACAGGCTGCCCGCCCGGCTGACCTGAGTCTCCAGCCCCTCCAACAGGTCAGACCAACACCCTCGTGTCCACTTCCCCCAGAGGTCAGGACTGACACCACGTGACCCTGAGGCCCATCACGCATCAGCCTGGCCGATTGTCAGCGGCCAGGGGCCCAGGCAAACCAGGGCACTCCTATCAGCCAGAACATTCTAGGGGCTTAGGGATCACTTCCCTTAGCCAAGGGCAAAAGCAGGTTGATTCCTCACTGCACCCTAAGCTTCTCTGAATGAGGGCTTCTCTGCTCCAGTCCCACTTCTCTGTGTTTATCTGCGGAGGTCCCGCTCTACAAGCACCTTGGAGGTGACGGTGCTGACCTGCCTCTGAGTCAGAATGTGTCTTACCAAATATCTACCACCTAAGAGTATCCTAAAATGACTTACGCTTTTTTTCTGCTGTCTTTGAACAAATAAAATGGAGCCTCTGCAATGTACAAAACATGTGCATAGTGTTGATCCAAAAAAACTTACATTTGTAAAAGTCTTTTCTCTTTGGTTTAGAGTAAAATGTCTGTGATTTATGCAGGATGAATCTTGTTGAGGGTGTTTTACGGAGAACTCCAAAGTTCCTTTCTTAATCTCTTGACCTTCACGGTTACAGGGGAGAGTCAGCTGCACTACGCGAATACCTGGATGACCTGAAGACACTCTTGGCCCTCAAGAACAAATACAGCCTGCTAAAGGAGCAGCTGAATAGGAAGAGGTTTTTAAAGAAGTTTCCTCAGGTGAAACGAGGGCTTGAGGAAACAATAGAAAAGCTCCGTGCACTTGCAGACAAGGTGGACAAGGTTCACAGGGACTGCACCATCGCCCAGGTGGCAGCCGCATCTGCTGGTGCTGTGTCTGGCATCCTGACCATTGCTGGCGTGATTCTGGCCCCTGTGACAGCGGGGGTCAGTCTGGCACTCTCGGCAACTGGGTTAGGGCTGGGGGCTGCAGCTGCCCTGACCGGTGTGGCCAGCACTGTCGTGGAACATGTTGTCACGTCATCAGCAGAAACTGAAGCCAATGACCTAATGTCAACTGCCATCAACAGATGGAAAATCGTCAAGGAGGTTCTACTGCAGCGCCAGTCCCAAATTGTTTCTGCAGCAGAGACACTCAGAGAAGCTGTGCTACAGATTGAAAAGAATATCCGTGCCATCGAGCTGCTCAGAGCCAACCCTGGCTTAGCAGCAGATGTGCAGCGCTTCCTGACCACTGGGCAACTCTCAGTCCAAAGCGGCAGGCAGGTGCAGGAAGTTCTTAAAGGCACAGCTCTGGCAATGAGCACAGGAGCCCGGGTCATTGGTATGGCCGCTGCAGGTGTCTCCCTTCTGCTGAATGTGGGCTTCCTTGTGAAAGAGTCACTGCACTTGCATGAGGGGGCAAAGACGGAGTCAGCTGAACGGCTAAGACAGCAGGCCCTGGAGCTGGAGAGAAGGTTGGAGGAGCTCACTCAGACCTACGAGAGTCTGCTGTAGGGTCCGAGTCTCCCTCAGTCCCCCGACCCAGAGCAGTGCAGGGAGCAGAGGCATGTGAGTGGCCAACATGCAGAGGTAGCTTTTAAGAGGGGGAAAGGGGCCAAAAAACTTATGGACCTGGATGTGAAGGAATGTTGCATTTCTTGGTCTGAGCGCAGCCGGGCAGTGGTTCATGCATGTGGTCAAAGAAAAGAAAGGGGCCTAAAGCCTGGAATAAGGGCGGAGGGGGAACAAGAGAGTAAGGGAAAGAGAGAAACCATGTATCATGGACAAAGAAGACCCTGGGGGCCTGAATAAAGAGAGAGGATGGAGGATCAAGGAACAAGAAGGCTGCAAACAGAAAAGAATAATAAATGGAGAAAGTCAAAGAGTTAGGACTCTTGGATGGAGGGAGAGGTGGCAGTGGCTCCTCTATCGCCCCTCCCCAGGGTCTGATGTCCCTACCAGAAGAGAGTCTTCCTGGTGGGGGTCCGCAGCCCTCCTTTTCCAGCATGAATTCATCTTTGACTTGCAGCAGGTTTATCTGAATTAGACAGTGATGTCGTCAGGATGATGTTGATGATGTTGGTGATGACACCCCAGGGAGTGGAATATTTGTCAAGTTGCCAGGTGCCCTGTGGGACCAGGGTGCACTGAGAGACCAATGAAGTTCCTGTGAAACATCAGATGCTGTGTTGGAATAGAGGTTGATATGAAAAACAAAACAAAAGAAAGAAAGAAAAATGAATCCAGATGCCAGCAACAGGACAAGGAATATTGTGAAGT